TTATTATTTTCCAGGCGGTGGCTGATGAGGCAGCGAAGCGGCGGCCAGCGGAGGCAGCGCGCCGCGCGGAGCAGGGCCGGCCGTGGCGGCGGGGCTCCCGCCGGCCTCCCCCCTGTTTACAAACACAGCTGTTGCCGTATATTTGCAATGCTAAGGATAAAGCCACCAGCAGCGAGGAGCAAACGAGAGATGGTCCGGGAGAGGGGTCCTCGGCATCTGGAAAGGACAGGGCGCCTTGTTTTTGAAACTGTCAATTCTCTCAACCCCTATTGTGAGCGCTTCATGCAAAACATCTCGGGCCTTTTAAAGCGGGGGCTTGTGAGGCCGCCTCGGAGTGAAAGGGAGAGGGGGAGAGAGAGGGGCCTAGGGCACAGCAAATAATTATATCAGCGCAGTGAAAAAATGCAACGTGGAAGGCCTAAAACCGGTTAGCTGTCCCTTCCTGAAAGGTTTTCGGGCAGGCAGCAGCACTCACCGTGAGCCACGGCCGCCCCGCAGCCAGGAACCCCGCACTGGGCCCAGGCACTGTTAGACCACGCTTTCTTTAAGCACAGTTGCAGGGCTAAATACCAGGGGAATTGGTAATGTCTGCAAGCATGACTTTAGCAAGGTAGATCTCAATGTCTCCCTCCTTATTTTGCTAGCCAGGGCTTAAAATTTTCATGCATTCACCCTCCTTTTGTACTTCCAAGCTGACCAAATAGATCCCAGGATGAGCAATTACATATTTTTTCCAGCAATCCTTTTAACCATAAAAACCACAATTAACAACGTTATCCATGTTTCATGTTCTCTAACATACTGCATATGTGGAATATTTTCCTGCAGATTATCGCCGTGTGTCGAAAATGCCACTTTTTTACCCCTCTCTGTCTCAACCACTCGCACGTGTGAACAGTGACAAACACAAACATGATAGCATTGCTCTCATTCTGCAGAAACTTTAATTTATTGGCAACTAAATCTGTTAGAAGAAAAAGGATCAGAGACCATGTAAAAAAAATCACCAAGTGAACTGATTGAACAACAATCTTTATACAACTGCCACTATTTTGCATTATCGCAAGTAGTGGCTTTTTAAATAAACAACCGGTAGAGAGATTATCCCAATGTACTCAAGTAAATGTAGGTTATAGAACAATCACTTCTTAAAGTAAATTATTGTAAACAGCAAGTTACATCTTTTAAGGCAGTATACCTCGTTGCTGAAGGCATTACACGTGTTCCCTTTTTAATGCTCTAGAGAATTAAAAATAGTCCAAAACTTTCTTTTGTCTTCCATCTGGCAGCAGAAATCTTCCCAATAAATTTACCAGTGAACTCGACTTGTGACAAATACCTATGGAGTATAGTCCACAAAGTACAGGCGCTTCCCTCAATTGCTTTTTCCTCTAGAAAATTCTGTTGATTTTTGTGTACACCAGGAATTGGAAAATGGTGGCGATTAATTACTAATACATTTTATCTCCTGTAAACATTGCAACAAAATGGTAACCTGGCTTTGTTTTTCCTCATTACTAGAACTTACCTTTATGGGAGAAAATGAGTTATTTTTATGTAACTCAATGATATGACTTTATATGATTAAGTCTGAAATGATAATGAACTCTGCTCACAGTAATAATTACAATGCAATCAGAAACAGTTACCAAACTACCAGAATTGGAAATAATACCCTTTTTTTAACCTTTTTTTTTTCTTTTTTTGTCCCCAGTGAGTTATTATACCTGGCTAATTTCTCCAACGGTAGTAAAAACACGAATGTCCTTGTTAGTGGCTTGCACTAAACTAAGGTGTACACGTGTGAAAATTATTTGGCTGTTTAACTTCTTGCCTTTTGATGTGGCCTGTGTGGCAGGGAGCCTGGCGGAGCAGCCTGCTGGGGATGCCCGGTGGGTGCTGGGCCTGGGGTGCTCCCTGCCCTGCTCCCACTTCCAGGCCTGCAGCTCCTGGGCCGCTGGCAGGCCTGGGTGCCATATTTCACGTCCTCAACTCTGCAGAGCCTATTTGGTATAAATTTATGCTTATTCCTCCCCCCTCTCCCCCCCCCCCCCCCCC